AACAACAAACAAACAAGTTTTCACGCATTTGACAGCGGCAATTAAACATGCAAACGACTGTAGAGGAAGTTTAGGGACGTTACGGTGCGCCTTGCGTATCAGCCAGGAATCAGGATTTCAATATTTGCAATTGATCAAAGGCATCTCCTCGGAGTCGGACTTGAAACTCAAGGAACGTTTCCGAATGCTCTTTGCCGGTTATTTCCTGACTGATTCCCACTTATAATTACCCGCTATGTTTTCTCTTTACTTATATTTTTTCAAGTCATCTTATGTTTTTACTTTTCTGGTTCAACATATGCTTTGTATATACAACTTGAACAATGAAACATTTATTCAAGTATCATACTTACCCTCTATGTTTTCTCTTTATGTACTTATGTTTTTCAAGTCACCTTATGTTTTCACTTTTTCTGGTTCAATTGTCGACGCATATACTTTGCCCATATTTGTGTATATACAAGCGTTGTCTTGTGAAAGACAAACCGTGGGCCATGAGATTGTTTTATTCGGAGGTGACAGGACTGTGACAAATCTCTTGTGTCTCAACGTTCTGGACAACTAATCGATGACAAAGAACTCGCTCTGTGGGTAAACGGTAGCTCAAACCTATGTGCTCCATGCCCTCAGATGAAGGTGATGCCCTTTCCTACCCCGATCTGATGACGTGATGATCTCATTCTGCTGCTGAGTGCCAGAACCACTCAGCTGGTCGTCGCTCCATTCCTCTCCGTTGTCTGATTTGAGGCATGGAGGACAATAGCTCCCATTGACTCGTTGAATGATTTGTCTGCAAACACCGTTAAGCAAGCGAAACTCTCCACTCTCAACAAGTACTAACCTCACATCGCTCTGTGTCAGGCTGGCGAAACATTTGGCGAAAACAACATTTTCTGTAAATGGATCGATTATACAGGTGAGCGTGACTGGATCTGCATAAAGTCATTTTCTGTTGCAGTGTTTCAACAATAAAGGTGCTACTTACAATCTTGGAGACCAGATAAGTGGCAATTTCGAGACTCGGCCATATGCAAACTTGCTGGTATGCTTTCGAAACTGCTGGCTCAAGCTCAACTTATATACTTTCTCCTTCAAAGTTCTCACCCCCTTGAAGTTCGGGTGTTTGAAGACTTTCTGTCATTCTAGAAGGTACGTATATATTTATCAATAGTGATTTCCATTGAGTTGCTCATTCGACGGTGACAAAAGACTTCTAACAGTGGACATCGGCCACTCATTGGCCACTCATCGTACATTTAGCGAGCACTGTATGCTAGCTAGAACACTAGAACACCAAACAGCTTGTCCAGGTGTACTTATCTGCTCCTCTAGAAGCGCGTGGGTATAAAGAATAGCTTGGAAATATGCGGGTATGCACCCACAACAAGTTCTCGCTCCAAGTTTCCCTTCTGATTGAACCCCAAGCTGGAAGGTAAAGCGACATGATCATTTAGGTTATTGATGACATTCAGGATCTGGAACATGGACACCTCCCCTTAAGAACGACAACGGCTTCCCTTGTCGCCACCAGCTTTGTTCCCATTTCACACTGGAATCAATAATACTATGCTACCAAACAACAACCCTACTGGCAAGAATCAGTATAAGGACTGACACACATTTTTCACAAACTCTCAAAATTACTCAGTTGACCTCTATCAGGACCTCATCTAGCTGCACCTAATGATTCTCATGTCGCCAACATCTTACATGACTATCACCGACGAGGGATTGGACGGGCTCAAATTCCTGACCTACTCAAGAAGGAGTACAACATCTCTCTTTCGTAAGTTCTTGCAGTGACTCGCAGTGCCAAATGACTCGACCTCTTGCAGAGAGGCTAGCATTGGTCGACGCTTCAAACTGCTGGGCCTTAAAGGTAGTGGAGCGATGACAGCTGAATTGCCTGATGACCAGAAGCACCAGCTTATCCTTGATCAAATGGCGAAAGATCCAGCTGGCCGCCGTGGGCCTTCACTAATCAAGGAGGCCATTGCCCATGAAACAGGGATCCATTTGACAAGGTTTGTTGCCAACAATGTCCTCTGCAATATTTGCTAATTGGTCTTCAGAGACTTCATTTGAAAGGAGGTTGTCCTTCTTGACCCTGAGGCTTCCACTGCGTGTGAACCAACAGCGAAGAAAATCCCGCGCAGCACTATCATCAGTCTTGGGCCTCACCACGAGTGGTCCTGTGATGGCCATGATAAATTATCAGTGATTGGTTTCCCTATTTGGGCTGTTCGTGATGTCTGGTCTGGAAGGTGGCTAGGTGTGTGGGTTGTACCAAATAACTGGTACATGCAGACCGTCGCGTATCTGTACCTGTCTCTGGTTGCTAAGCTGGGAGGTCAGATCCAAGCTCACTCTCTTTGTGTCCAGTTTGGGCTTATGAGTAAAGCAGGAATGCCACTGCAGTCTACAACAGATTGTGGTTCTGAAACCGTCATGATGTATGGCTTGGCAAATGCTCTTCGGTCTGTTTTTTTCTGTAGTGTTTTCACCGATTGTTAATCCCTGTGCAGAGAACAGTTTTCTCCAGAACTGGGTGTTGTCAAAATTGGCCCTGCACACCGCTTCCTCAAGAGTGTCCACAACATAACTATTGAGCGAGGATGGGGCCAATTGCACAAACAGTGGGGTGCAAACGTGAAGATTTTTTGGGAGCAGGGTGTGGAGCTGTATGATCCCACAGTTCCTAAGCAATAGTAAGTGAGGTTTGAGCTCGCTACCGTTTTAATTCTCACGTAAATCTCTAGTGACCTTGTTCAGTGGCTTTGGCTGCGGTTAATCCAGCAAGAGTTGGATAGCTTCGTGTCGCGTAGCAATGATCACAAGCCACGAACAACCCCAGGGAAGTCGAAGTCGCTTCCAAAAGGTGTCACGCCACACCTAGCATACTCTTTTCCTGAGAAATATGGAGCCACAAATTGTCTTCAGTCCATTGAAACAGGCATTGTCGAAGGTTTGATGAAGGAGATCGGAGGAGGGGAGTTGGTTGAGTTTGTTCCCCTAGCATATGCTGCAAAGGCCGAAGCTGTTTACTTCAGCCTTGGCCTTGGTGAGCTCACTCTTACAAACATTTGGTCTGTTTTCGAGGCTATGCTGCCACATATGTAAAGTCTGTTCAAAATTGATTGTGGTTGTCAAATACAACAAGTAAGGGTGCAACATCAAGGACCATCTATGGAATCTCTTCCCTCCCAGTCTTCACTGGAGAAAATCCTAGTCGAAGTGGCCTTGTTCGTTCCTGCAGCACAGGAGTGACGTCTTGCCTTTCCAAATCAATGATGGCATCTTTCAACCCAAGCTTTCTGCATATACTCTGGCACTTGTGCTCCTTTTGCCATGTCTTGATGTGCTCGCGTCCACCATCCCAAAATCCTGTTTCGCTCTCACACCTGTACAGAAAGTTGACTTTTAATTGCAAGAAAAATGCAACGAACTTATGAATGAGCCTGTGGGTCAAATAAAATAACTTCTTTATCAGGCCCTACAACACCTTATGTCAAGGAGGTCAACAACCAATTTGATTTGGATTCGAGACATCAAACCTTGCAAATCTGTCAGAAGGTAAGAGCCTTGACTATCCACCAAGACGTGGTGAGCATAGGCATCAACAATCCGACCAACTTCATCAAGGTTGTTTCCAGTGGCGTCACTCCCACTGAACTTGCGCTCAGTATAGAGTCCAGTCGTAGTGATCAGAGGCGCCGCCAAGAAAGTCGGGAAGCTCAGGCTCTGAAGGTCTTCCTCACCAATGTCGGGGCACGGAAGCATACCAGAGCTAACATCGCCAATAAAAGCATCTTGGAAATTCCAGCGAATACCTGCGATAGCGTAAGAGCAGGTATGAGAAAGAGTAAGAAACTCACTTGTACTCGCGTCTACTTCATGCACTGCAAGTCGCAAGGCGAAGGACTCGGCAAAATATTGACCCAGAGCTAGAAGTCGCAGCTCAGCAATCAGATTGATTCGGTTCTGCGCTTCAGTGACACGTTGGGGTTTGCACTGAAAAATTGTGTAAGTTTTACTATTTGTCCGGCCCTGGAATGGCATTCAGTTGTGGGACAGATCGACACACTCACGACCTACCAAAAATGCGAATTTCATGAAACCTTTTGCCAGATACCCATCCTTTGGACCATCACCAATGTTTTTCTTCCAATCCCTGGCAATTTTTATCGTCTTGGGCTCAAGACAGATGTGATCTTGAACATGTCCTTCTTTATCTGTGGTCACCGTCATTCGTGTGTACTCATAGCTGTCGAAAGGAATATCAATTGGGGCCACATCATCAACATCAAAGCTAGAGATAGCTTTTTTCCGAGGCTGAAACGAGCTGGTATATGTTGATGCGAAACCTAACAAGCACTTCAGATGTCAGGGCACGTTAACTGATAAGAATCAAACTACCTGCGCTTGACGCTTTTCATTTGGTGCTGGCATGGCTTGATCGTCTGGTAGATTGCGATACCCGAGTGCTGGCAGTGAATGGCACATCATCATCTTCATCAGACCACTTCTAGTAATGTTTCTCAGATCATATAGTCGCCTGGTGATATGTTCAGGATAAACTTACTGTATCTACTTCAAAAACGTAGACTCAAAGAGGCATTTGTCTCTCCTTCACATCGCTCGCACTGAGTTTTGAGTCAAGCTTCAAGCTTTCGAACATCGCATCCACTGTTCCGACTAAGTGAGTTTCAGTGGGTTCAAAGTGGTGAACAGTTTTGTTCGCCGAGAGTCCGAATTGTACACTATGATAAACACTGTTCAGAGAGTAAGGATTCATCGCAAAAAAAAGCCTACTCTGCAAAATTCAACGGAATGGGAGTTGACTGCTGTGCCAAGATTACATTGTTGTGAGCCTTCTTCAACTCGGCCTTGGCAAACTCAAGAACATCTTTCGCCAATTCACTTCCCTTCCAGATCCGATGAAGAGGTAATGTCTGCACCTAGGAATACATAGAATGTCAGAAAGTAATATATATTGAAGGTGAGAGTGGTTTACCCGTTTGGCAGCCTTTCCACCCAGCGGATAGATCCATAACGAGATTTCAGTTGTATATGTGTCGACTTTTGAAGCCTTGCGAACCATCGCTAGTTGCTCCTTCATCCGAGTTGCTTGTTGGAGCTGAGGATTTTGCTTGCAGCTTGGTTGAGGTGATGGTTGGATGCTGTTTTTTGATATTCTGCAGCATGCCCAATAAGACCTGTTCTCAAATCTTCTTGAAAAAAAGGTGAAATGATTACAGATAGACACCGAAGAAGATATAGAGGTTCCTCACTGTTGGCATCCAGCTCTTTCTGGATGCAGGCACCACACCGCTCATGTTTCATGAAAAGGTAAATAACAGAGCAGCCTAAGCATTGTGGCTGGCACTGTAGTTGGTGTCAGTAAGATCCTGGGTTGAATAGTACACTTTCTTACCTCGACATCCCCACGTTCAACTTCGGACTTCGCAGCAGCACGCTTGACACACTTTTGGCAAGTGTCTCCATAGAAATATGGAAAGTCGAGCCTGCAACCTATGCACATACCCATGACTGCTGAGCAAAGATCTGGAGAAGAGAACACAAAATTGTGAGTATAGTAGACTCAACAAACTTTATCCGATCAACTAGACAGTTCATCCAACTTTTCGTATCAGGCAGAAATCCACAAACGTTGACATCATACACGCTAAAGATCTACACCACATACAGTACCAAACTTACGAGCTAGGCGCCAAACTGACGCATTCCAGAGCCTGGAACCTCGAACATGCATAATGCCGCTCCTAAGTGGCACTCTCATGAACTTCTTCGCTTTCCTAAAATGCGAGTTGGTACACTCTCTTCTGGGATAGAGAGACTGAGACTTACTAATTCCTTGTGATCTCGGGTGGCCCCAAAATAACACCTAATACCGACCTGAGGTCAATGATTCCTATATCCTTGTATGAGCATGTGCGAGGGGATCCTATAGGCGACCATGCTTTGCTCATAGCCGCAACCGCCGCAAGAGTACTGCGAAGTAGAGAGGTCAGCTCAAGCAGCTCGAAGAATGAAAAAAGAAATCGTCTACCATTTCAAACAAGTAAAACAGGCCTAATTAATGTGAAAAGATGCCTAAGAAATTGCAAAATGTCGTCTTTGCGTGGTTGTTTCGATCTAAGAATAGGCTGAAGTTATTATACACTAAACAAACAATAAGCAAAAAAGCAACTGACCTCTCAAGATATAATTGGTGGAGCCAAATGGAGGAGTTGTTGCGGCAGTCAGCGAGCTCGCGGATTGGCGTGAATCAATGTATTCACAAACCCAGTTGAAGCCTGCCAGAGCCTGCTGGAAAGTTGGCAATGACTCGCTCGCTGGCACTCGGCTAAACCAAAGCGTCAGGCGAGTCGAGCAGGACGCAGTCCAGCAAATTTCACAAGTATGAACTCGCGGATTGCAAACAGGTCCTCCCACCAGAGGACTGGGGGGTGCTGAGATAATGCCAGTAAGGGCCAACAGACCAGGTACGGGTGAGGAAGGCGCGCGCAGGCCTAGGAGAAGTCAGGGAAGCCAAAGGGACGAGTAACAAAGGTGCCCGCGAAATCTTCAAAAAAACGGAGTGGGAGGTGAGAAAGTTGGAAAAGGATCAAAAGAGGATCCACTCACGTCTATAAGAAACAGACAGCGCAGAGGAAGTGGGGATGCCCGCCAAACAGGGTGATAACGACGGAAAAGCCGAGGCACGGCAGAGGCAGAGTGTTTTCCCCCAGGCGGCTTTAGAGGTGGAAATCGAGAGGAACACGGGCGAAGTGGCGCCCACGTCAACGGCGGAGACCGACATGCAGAGGTCCTCGAGCCGGTATTTGAAAGGGTGTGTTCTGAGTTTGCAGACAACATGTTGAAGGAGGGAGAGCGACTGAAAGCAAGCATAATTTCAGTACAAGACTCTAAAGAAGATTTGAAAGAGAGTAGACAGACTGGAAACGCACCAATTAAAAGGCTTCATAACTTGCAAGGAGAGGAGCAGTGGCCATCAATTTGCAGCTGGGAGGTGAAGACAGTGGCCACACCCTCGAGGTCGCACGGTAAGACCAGAGTAACACAAGCGGCGCGCGGCAGACCATCTACCCAAAAACCAGGAGTAGCAACATGCCTTGGTGCTGCCCTCAGAGAGAGAGCTCTGGAGAAAGATAAATGCAGCAAGGGAAGTTTGCAACGCTGGTATGAATCACGTGACTTGTTATTGGGTCTTGTTCTGATTCACGCAACAATGCTCGTTGTAGAGTGCTGGAGGGACCCGTCCTGTAGAAAGAACAAAGAATGGTGTTTCATTAGGTGTATATACAAAGCATATGTGTCAACAATTAAATCAGAAAAAGTTCAAACATAAGGTGAAAACATAAAAGGCGAAAAACATAAGTGAAGAGAAAACATAGAATGGTACTTGAACGAACAGTTGGAACCAGGGCATAACTGGCAAAGAGCATCGGGTCCCTTGTGTTTGAAGTCCGACTCCAAGGAGATGCCTTTGATCAATTGCAAATATTGAAATCCTGGCTGATACGCAAGGCACACCGTAGACGTAGATGGCTGAGACAGGAAAGGAAAAACCTACGATGAAAGATTGATGAAGGAGGAAGGAATAGTGTGAGAAATAGCGCCATCACCGTGACGATCATCCTTGAAAGGTATCAGGGCTGCAGCATGGGAACCATGAGGCGAATCCGCCTTCGCCTCATGAACGAGGGCTTGAAGCAAGCTTGAAGTTGGAGGCCCCGATCAGTTATCAGTGTCATGCCTTAGGTGCACCTCAACGGGTCCTTACATCTGGCATCGCGGCAAAGACTGCCACCTCATTTTCAAGGAATCCAAGTCTCCTCTCCACCACATTTGTCAGTCTCCTAAAGGCTTCTCTTCATGCTATCACCGTCGATTCCAAGTCCCTGAACAGCCTTGAGGCGCAATTTGAGGGCTTTGTCAACCTTAATCATGGATTAAGGAGAGCTATTTAAAGGACAAGGCATGTCGACGAAAGGTAAGCCCCAAAAACAGGCCCAGAATGAATGATGAACACAACCCACAGTCCTATGTTAACACCAATTATCTCCCCATCGAGATGGACATTGAATTCCGTACTGGTCCTCCTCCTCCTACAAAAACATCAACATGGCGGTATAATCCCAATCTTGATTAATCTGACTGCAATATCACACTGACCATTCTTACACAGAGTCAAACTTTCCATGTACTGGCCCTTTGCGGCGCACCTCGCTCTAATTGCCTTCGTATCCTTGGCCTGTCTCCGCTATCTAGATGGCCACGATTTCAACATCAACTCACGTCTACCTCGATATCGAGAAGTCGATGGCTCTCTTGCGTATGTGACATCTTATGCTCCCCTCCAATCTGACATCACAACTGCCGTCTCGTTGGCAGCTTCAGTAACACGTGTTGCAGGCGGATGGTGGGCGACAGGCTACATCTGGCACTGCATTTTCGTGGCTATGGAGCAAGGGGGAATTTCGGCAAAAGGTCTATTGCAGGTGATTTCAAATAGGCCTCCTTCACCTTGCCACTTTACTCAAAAAAGTAACTTGGTCATCATATACATCACCCTCCTCACCACTTTCACTATCGATTATTTCTCCGCAGCTTTGACAGGATCATTCATTTGGGAGGCTGCGGACGCTCAAATACCTGGGAGGATACCACGCGCTATCTCAAATGGAACCGCAGATTATGTTGGTGCACCTTACTTGGGTGACAGCTGGAAGTCTCCGGTTCTGTCAATGGCTTCGGCTTCTGCAAGCATCGCATGGATGGTCCAGTCAGAGTTCATTTTGAACATCATGCAACCCTCCATCACTTTTCGGTGTGTTATACAAAAAGCACAATACATCTCTACCAATTCCACCCTGGCTGAAGTTATGATGCCTTACTTTGCCGTAGATGCTTTCGAGTGGGTGCAAGACCCTCACCAGGTCTTGACGGACACACAAATATCCTTACTCAATCAGACGGCGGGTGAGTATAACCCTTTCACGATTATGGCAAATGACTCTGGTGGGTTCTTACCCGACGTACAGTGGGGAGAAGGACCACAAACACCTATATCGGGACATCAGGACCTGCCCATATCAGAAACACGACTCTTCGCCATCGTGATTTATTTCCTCCTCCGCCCAACCTTCCTCACTCCACCATTCAAGTGTGCCCACAGAATTACATGATCGACCCGGGCGTCCAAATCAACTTGTTTGGCAGCATGAACAGTTCCGTGGCGATCTTGCCCTGTTTTGGTATCGCAAATGTGTCGTACCGTGCTGGAGTGTTCAGCGGTAGAAACTGTAAAATTATTTCTTCGAATGTCATGGAAGCACAACCCCCCTTTACACTCATCGGAAATCCATTCACTTCAGGGGCACTGGGACTGACACCAGCTCTTGTAACCAATCTGGTATTATCTATGTATGCTATTCCCTTGAACTATGGGACACACAGAGACTTGGCCATCGAGTTAACGTCACGGGCATATCAGGCTGCATGGGCAGCATCGTCCGACCTTGCCCCGATAGTTTTCGATACTACAGCTGTGCAGATTGCCTTGCCGACGTTGCGTGCCAAAATAATTCGCTGGAGAGTATACCTTTGGGTAGCACTGCATCTTTGGGTGTTAGCGCTAGGCTTGCTTTTCGTCTACATTCAAAGTCATTGCGATCACCCGTGGGTTGAGGACCCGACTATGGCTGTCTTCTGGCTGGATATGAGGGCGGTCCTTACCAAGTCGGATGGTCAGCTTGTTTTGGACCCATGGCAGCCCGGAACAGTGATTTGTGAAGATGGAGTGCTCATACTTGAGCAAAACAAACCCAGTCAGCACTCAGTGCAAGTCAAGAGGAGTAGTGGTTCGCGTCAGTGCAGATATTTGGATTCAATACCATTACGGCGTAGGACGCCTCCTTCAAGTTCCACGATATTGAGGAAGGAAGGCATAGAAAGTGTTGAGACGCTCATCGGGACTTCCGTTCCGACAAGTCTGCAGACTATCTCGTTGGATTCCACCAGAACCCCCGAAAATTCTGCGGAGTGAATTTTTGTATAGATATCCTGATTATATATGCCTTGTGAGATAGGACACTACGATAATTTCGTGTCTCTGTTCAGGAAAGCCTGACTCACCCAACGACACCAAAGGGGATGCCTCTGTAAGCCATACCATTGCATCTGTCATTCGATTTGAAGTTCAGAAACGTGACCAACCGCAAGATAAAACTAAATGCCAACACACCTTCGTACAGCGTGCCTTTACTTCCTTCCTAACCCTTGCCGACCCCAAGGTCAAGTCTGTGAAGCAGAGCGCATCGAGTGACTTGATTCCTTCCTCTCCCCCCAAGTCGGTATCCTTGCCTTCCCCTCCATAATGCATATGATCACAGTCCCATGTAGACTTGAAACTCTTTGTCTCTGTCGCAGCATCTTCCTCAATCTCGGAGTATCAAATCTCGGGGCGCCCAGATGCTTGGAACGGACATGGCCAATTTCAATCATACGGCGAGGTCACCAGTTTGTCCTGATACAAGATACGGGATGTCTCTGCAGAAAGTTGGTTAGTGAGCAACTCTCCAGATCTGACTCCTGAGTTGTAGACATAGACAAAACGAGGAACCTGAGGCCAGAAATTCAGGAATGCAAGGTGTCCTACATACCAGCTATCGACAAGCTATCGAGGTATTGATAGACCATATTTCAAAACGCTCCACTCAGTGATTTCATTTACTTGTGGAGCTTCAGGGTATGCGCAAACAACCAAACTAGGAATTTATGACTATATACGCAACAAGCGGGAAGGGGCGGGAAGGCAATGCCCGCCCATTGGCTGTAGGAAGTTGTTTGGCCAGCTCCAAAACTAAACAAAATTACTAAACGGAGCGTTGTGGAAACTGGTCTATCGATCAAGAGGTGTCAGATCCACCGATTCTGGCCGTCAGATCCATTTATGACAAAGCACAAGCGGTGATATCCGAAGGACGGCATGTCAGCAGCATCTAGCATTCCCATCAACTCCGCTGCACAAGTGTTTGAGTGTCGATTTTGAGTCCAAGGCTCGTGTACCACAGGATATCACCTATTCATAGTATTCACGAAACTACATCAAATCAGAGGTAATGTAAATTGTGCTAATTCTTGAAGAAGAAGCAAGGATAATATATGGGAAGACAATTTCAAAGAAAGACATTTGAGTCAGTAGTAGTAACACTGCGAAAAAAAGATGGTGGGTAGTGAATCGACGGCGTTGGTAGTTGAATAGGTGGGATTAGAATTTAATGATAAAATGACAAAGGATTGGTATTTTTCTCCCTCGGCCTCTACCTCGCTCATTGGGATTCTGGGAAGTAAGATAGAAGATACAACTTACAGCTTACAACGGGTTTGCATAGCACACATCGGTCATGGTGCTAGCCCTTGTCTATCATCTGGAATGCCTAGTCTTGTTCCTTCCCCTTCACCTAGAGTGATTTTTTCGCGGAACTCTTGGAGTTGTGAAGAACGAGAGATCATGAAGGGGAGCAATGTTGTCAGTAGGAGTATTTTAATCAATTTGATTGAACGAGGAGGTAGAGTAGAATTGTCCGAAGAGAGAGAATGTGGTTTCACAAACTTATTCAACCATTTTCCGAAGCAAGGACGCGTCTGGAGATTCGGACGAGGGTGAATGCAGTACTGATACCATTTTGATTTCATAGAATAAGCCGTCTCAAGCCGCATCATGCGAGATTCCCTAATATGGTATGAGGGTGGTACAGGACCTGGGAAATTCACGTCAAATGCCTGATCCGTGTGTGGACAAAAATTTGACAAAAATCCGGAAATGCCTGAGGACTGTCCGGACAAAATTTGGGAAATTTTTTGGAAATGCCTGATGTGGATGTGCGGACAAAATTGGCTCGAATCTAGAAGGCCTGATCCGATTGCGGACAAAAAATGGTCAAAATATTTTGGAAAATCATACGTTACAGGGGTATATTTTCTGGCCACATCCGCTGATCAGGGACAACTCACGCCTGGGCGAGTGATACTTCAAGTATCACTGCAATCTCAAACCTGCCAGTGCAGATCTTCGAGCACATGTACGGCTGTCAATTCCGTGCCAAATCCCAAGGACTAGCTCTTCACACTTCAAGATTCGCTCTTCTCACTTTGTCTCAATTCATCCCATATACCAAGAACCATGGATGATGGTTCAATGCTCACATTAACACAAGAAGATCACGACATCTTCAAGGTATTGATTACTTGTCACTCCAATATTAAAAAGGTAGTTACTGTATTGACCAGGAAGAAGAAAAAAGGTGTAGAGGATGACGGGATGGATACAGATGGCAAGGATAGGTAGATACTTGAAAATATCATTTACATTAGCCTCAACAGATGTCTGGAGTAGGCGAACAGCGAAAAAATCTGCATACTGCCTACCAAATGCCTGATCCAATGTGCGGACAAATTTTGTACAAAAATGAGGCCTGATCCACAGTGCGGACAGAATTTGGAAGAATCTGTGCGGACAAAAATGGCCCAATTTTGGGATTTTGGGATCAGGCATTTGACGTGAATTTCCCAGGTCCTGGTGGTACCCTCATGCTGTGGGAACAACGGGCGGGATCGGAGGATCTGATGCCTCTTGCTATCAATACCTCAATAGCTGACAAAGGCACACTTTCCACACACGAGGCAAGAGTCTTGGTGCTGAGATTGATTGCTGTTTTGTCAGAAAAACCCTGGAAAAACATGTGCCTTACAAGATCGATCGGTTACAGGACTGATATTATGATTACATTAGCTGATTTTATCCTAGCCTTTTATGGCCAGAAATTGGGTTTATAATAGCAATTTGGCCATTATACCCGCCTTATAAGGCCATTTCTTCCCTCTTGTAATGCATTACAATTTAAAATGTTTCTCCAGAGTCCACCATTCTACTATCACTGACCCTGTTTTGCAAATATTTAGATCAAACCTTCACAGCGCTCTAAGAAGTGAGCCGTTCTTCTCAATTCTTTGACCAATGGAAAGGCCTGATCTCTGGTTTCAAGACAGTGGTTTTTTCGTATTTAACTGAGGTGGTTAAGTGAGGTGCCGATGCAAAAGAGAAAGTCACCTAGTTTTGCAAATTTCGTCACACTTGTGTCACACAAGAAGCGTCAGTCGTGCATAGTGTTGCCACAAGGTAAACCGAAGCGAATCGAAGTGGGGAAATGTGTGCACTTTGATCCACTTCGGTCTTTCGAAGTGAATCGAAGCGAATTCGGTGATCCCCGTAAATTGATCAGCCAATAATATCATTCGCATTCTTGGTGCTGAACGTTGTAGTAACTTGTCGTGTACTTGAATACATGATGTAGTATTTACTTAGTATCACACAGGTACTTTAGTATCAATATCTTTCGAGTTCTGAAATAAATCCCCGTCAAAAGCAGCCTCCATTGAGATAGTGTAATCCTTCTTGCACGCTTCGCAAACAAAGAAAAGAGAGAAGGAGGATGAAGAGCAGGGCTCTCATCTGCAGGTCTGCCTTCATGCTGAAAATGGTGGGGCGGGGGAGTGAAATACAAGCTGAGCATGAGTCGGGTACTGGCACATGTGCCGCTACTGTTGCGCTACTGGATCTTATATTGGCGTTGTCCATGTCATTCAGCTACGAGATCAGTGACGAAACTGAGATGGTTTTCTCATATGAGAACTTCAGCACTCGCAAAGCCTCGATATTCTCTGTGCAAATCTTGTCGCGTCGCAGAGAACAAATTTCTTTTGAGACTTTATAGTCGCGATGTTCACCCCTCCTTCCTAAGCAAATTTTATCATACGACACTCATAAATTGAAAGAAACTGGTACTATACATTCAGCCACATAAAACTGGTGTGATTTAAGATTGTATTGGGGAAGGGAGGGAGGAGAAAGAGGGAGAGCGTCGAATCGCGACTGTAAAGATCACTAAACGTGCCTCGACGCGCTGTTTCACGTGCGCCAATCTTCCTTTTCTAGCCATTATTGATGGCCATCACAAATTCACCTCGACTCACTTCGATACCTCGAAGTGACACGAAGTGGTGTGATTTTCGAACCGAATCGAAGTCACCTCGAAGTCACTTCGCTTCGACGGCAACACTAGTCGTGCACCTCTTTGCATCATTCGGAGATTGAATGTGAACCTCATGTGGCGCGAATTCTTGTCGAACACACGTCGGAGTTTGAAGTGCCTGCTTTAACTTGTCACGCTCGACTGTCGGGATGCCTTGTTCATCTGTGGACAGCACAGATGCTCTCAAAAAGTTATGGAATGTCTACTATATGTATTTAGCTCAATCCCTTAAAATAATGAGAGCGCTCTGTTGGAATTATAATATTTTATGCAGGCAACATGGTGGGGAAGTGCAGGATTTTGGTATATATTGCAGCCTGTGGCATTTTTCCATCCAATTTCTTCAAATAAAAAAATATATTCGCACTTGATACATAGATATACACCCCCTCAAATATTTTCAGAGTGTAGATCGTATGTGATGTAAAGTTAGAGACTGATTTGCAAAACTAGGTGACTTGCAAAACTAGGCACGTGATAGTAGTGCATTATATTTTTAAGGCCCCCGGGTTTTTCCAACAATTTTGTGCGTGTTTTTTGGATCGCTTTCTGAATTATTCTTTCACAAATATTTCGTCTGAATGGGCTCCTTGCATCTGGCATTGCCGTAAAGACTGCCGCCTATTTGTCAAGGAATCCAAGTCTCGTCTCCACCACATTTGTCATCCCCTCCACTTAGCACTATCGCCATCGATGCCAAGGAGAGCCAAACCTTGATGACAGTGGTGCACAGCGTGTTTCAAGCACAGCGTTAACCATGGATTAGAGCTATTTAAAGGGTAAGGCATCTGGACGGAGGGCAAGCCCCAAACACCGGCCCAGAAATTAGAATGGATGATGAACACAACCTACAGTCCCATCTTAGCACCAATTATTTCCCCGTCGAGACAGACACTGAACAAAGTAGCGACCCTCCCTCTCCTCAGTCAACGACACCAACTTGGTGGTATAATTCCAGTCAATATTCTGACTGCAATATCACGCTGACCACCCTTACACTGTAGCATCAAACTTTCCAAGTATTGGCCCTTCGCATTGCACTTCGCTCTAATCGCTTTCATATCCATGACCTGTCTCCGCCATCTAGATGGCCGCCATTTCAACGTCAACTCCCGTCGACCTCAATATCGAGAAGTCGATGGCTCTATTTCGCAGATGACATACTATACCCCTCTACAATCCGACATCACAACCGCTGTCTCGTTGGCAGCTACAGCAACACGTGTTGCGGGTGGATGGTGGGCGACAGGCTACATTTGGCGCTGCATTTTCGTGGCCATGGAGCGAGGGGGAATCTCAGCAAAAGGTCTATCACAGGCAATTTCAAGCTGGCCGCCTGCACCTCGCCACTTCACTCGGAAAAGTAGTATGCTGATCATATACCTCACCCTTTTCGCCACTTTCGTCATCGATTATTTCTCTGCCGTTTTAACTGGCTCATTCATTTGGGAGGCTGCAGATTCACGCACACCCGGAAGGATACCACTCACAATCTCTAACGGAACTCTAAATTATAATAATGCATTTGGGGGTGACGGTTGGCAGTCTTCGGTTTTGTCAATGGCTTCAGCTTCTGCAAGCGTCGCATGGATACCCCAGTCAGACTCCCTTTTGAATAACACAGAAGTTGATCCCTCCACAACTTTTCGGCGTGTTATCCAAGGAGCCCAATACATTTCCACCAATTCCACCCTGGCTGAAGTTGTGATGCCTTAATTTGCCGTAGATGCTTTCGAGTGGGTGCAAGACCCCCAACAGGTCTTAACGGACACACAAATACCCTTACTTAATCAGACAGTGAGCGAGTATAGTCCTTTTACCAAGGGGGTAGCGGGACGTGGATCCCGAACCAAGGGTAGGAGGGGGGGGTGTCCAGCTGAAGGCCGAAAAAAAAATTGTTGACGCCGTCAATTTCAAATTTTCTCATGCTGGTCTCCTCATAACTATCTTTACACTGATCATGACCTACTTGCAACCAGTTACACCACTCTCGACGCCTCGGATTCTTGCGACGCGGCTGGCCGTGGTGGATCCCTCACGAGTACCCTATAGCCGTTGTTTCAACAGCATGCTATATGCATCCTTACGATGCCTAGGCTTAGTTTACGGTCAACCGCCTGTGCGTAGCTTAATTGTTACACGAAAATTTTTGAATTCAAAGAGAAAAAAAAAACATGAGTATGGGGAAAACATACTTTATTAGGAAGGTAATGGTGGGGGGGTGTCAGGCGGAACCCTGAAAAAAAAATAACGAGTGTTGGTCTCTTTTCCACATTCCGCCACCCCCTTGCCTTTTACTGCAAATGTAACTGGTGGGTTCTTACCCGACGGACGGTGGGGAGAAGGACCGGGACGTCAGGACATGCCTATATCAGAAACACGACTATTCGCCGTCATGATTTATGATTTTCCTCCGCACGGGATCCATGTGTGCCCACAGAATTATACGATCAACCCAGGCTTCCAAATCAACTTGTTTGGTGGTGTGAACGGGTCTATGGCCGATATCTTGCCCTGTTTTGCTATTGCAAATGTGTCGTACCGGGCTGGAGCATCCAGAAGTCGAAACTGTAAAACAATTTCCCCGAATGTCGTGGGAGCAGAGGACGCCCCCTTTTCACTCATCGGAAATCCATTGACTTCCGATGCACTGGGACTATCACCAATCCTTGGAACCAATCTTATGTTATCTACATATGCGATTCCCTCAAACTATGGGACACGCAGAAACTTCTTCATCAAGTTAACTTCGCGGGCATATCAGGCTGCATGGGCAGCATTGTCGGACTTCGAGACCTCGAACCTTTATGTTGACCCAACCACTACGACTGTGCGTTATTGAAAGGCACAGGCGGGAGGTGGGGTATGTTAGGGTTCTAAAGAAAATACATCAACATCCCTTGTCATGTACGCAAGGGAATGTAAATTACCTTTTTGTATCCTTTGAAGCCCTCGTCACCGTCAACGAACGCGCCCGCGAACCGAGTGCTGCCACTTGTCGTCGACTAGCCAACGGTAAGTTTCTCGACTCCATCGTTGTGTGCACATGGAAGGGTGGGGTTTAGGCAGGGGCTGGTTCTGCTGGAAAGAGGGACGTCAACATTGATTGAGATGTATAGGAGCACTCCCAACTCAATTACCTGTCCTCCAGCTATCATGCTCGGTTCTGTTGACGTGGGCTCTCTTCCTGCAGGTCGTGTCGCCCTCAAGACTGGCTAACAGGCGATCGGTGGGCCCTAGGATCGTATGAATGCGGCAGGAGGGGAGAGACTTGGCCGTTGTGCAGGTGGAGGTTCTGGTGAAGACAGATCGCCTACGCGAGGATGACTGACTTACGTATCAGTCTACCTTGCCCGCCAATTGTGCCATCCACGTTGCTGGCCATTATCATGATTCATTACGCAGGTCATCGTCGCTCGTGTTCGATGAGTGTGCTCGCGTCAATATTTGCCTATATCCCGATAAGCTATGAAACATGGGAAACGTCATTAGGCTTGCACGTCCGACGTAGTGCGTTGAAATCGAATGAATACGACGGAAGAAAGCCATCGCGGGATGGTGGTTGTAGTGAAGGTGGCCACTGAAATGTTGGTGACGATGGTGTTGGTAACCAACCATGCAAGAGGCACCTGTCTGCGAGATCGAGGGCCAAGCTTGCATCTTGTCTCTTACTACGATGTCGCCAGACTCCAGAAAGCCATTACAATACCCACAAGCCGCGATAAAAAGTAGGCGCTCGTCCCCTCAAAATGCGGCTTAAAGTCTCCATATCGGAACCGCTCTTTCAAATTCTGACAGTCAGTGACAGGTCCCCCGCACCTCACAGCACTTGCTTTTTTGAAGAAACGAGCCACCACCGGACACCATGACACACGACGAAACAGAGAAAAGGGTAGGGGAGCAGGAGCTTGCTGCTTTTCAGCTACATGAGGAATTGGATGAGCGTAGGGACAGGAACGATGGTGAGCTTGAATCCGAGTTCAACTTGAATTTGTATGGGACCAGTTCTAAGCTTACCTTTCGTTTAGTGATCAACCATCTGGCTATGTGGATCTACGGACAATGGAGACGATCTCTTCCAAAAACCAGGGTATCCCACTGTGATTTGCGTATGATATGTACAATGCCATTGGATATCTTGTACGAGGTTCGCCTTCTCACCCCAATATCTACCTCTATCTGTCACTAACCCATCTCACCCGTTCAGATTTTCGAGCATCTACACCCAATAGACCTCTACCACATCAGCCGCACCAACCGCAGTTTCCAGGACATCCTGCGCAGCCCTAGCTCCAGCTCAATTTGGCGGGCGGCCTACGAGAAGGAGGACGAGATCCCCAGATGTCCGGAGGATATCTCGGAGCTTGAGTGGGCGGATTTGTTGTTTGGGAAGCGGATCTGTCAGGTGAGTTTGGTTTAGTAACGACGACAACGACGAATGCTGATCATCCATGCTTGAAGCAATGCGGAAACGGGGGTGCCCCTCCCAACCTCACCTTCCGCCATCGCTTGTGCAGGAAGTGTGCGCGTCTTTGGTGGGCGGGCTTTCCGTGACGACGTCAAATAATCACTCACGTACCCCCCAGTCTAGTCAAGCAAAGGGATCTCGTTTTTCCAAGCTCGTCAATTTGGAGTCTAGTTCGTCGAAGTCAGGTTATCAGTGGGCGATAGTTCCTTTCCTGATCTTCGCAACAACAACTGAAATTGCTACAGACATGTGTCCCGATGGCACTTTTGATGACGACTGGCCTCTATACCTCAAAGACGAATCCAAGCGTATTGATCTACGGTTGTCTCTTACCGTGGACTTTGCGGACATCAAGAAAGTCGTCGAGGAACACAACAAGAAGAGAAATCTGGACATTGATTCAATACGTTCGGTATGTCTGTATCTCCTTGGCCATATATGATGATCACTGATATACGGGACATAGCACGTACTGAAAACGTTTCGCTGGGCTCAACGCACCGCGCAGGCTTACCAAACCCAACGAGAGGTGAGGTACGAGCGAAACATGCGACGGTACGTTCAGCCCATCCCCTTTTCCATCCAAATTAATTTTGATAAACAACATGGAATTAGGGTGCACGCTCGTCTCGTCAGATCAGGGCACACCCTAATCGACGTCCAAAAAGCTCAATTCGATGAAGACGTACTGGATGAGATCAAGGATCTGAAATCGTCTTTACCAACTAGGAGTACGTACCCCCTTTTCCTCCTCCCTTCCATCCGTTGAGTACCAACCACTACAGTCTGGGACTACCTAAAACCCCAACTCGAACCCGCCATCCACCTGGCCCGCCTCACCCGACTCGAAAAAGCTCGCAAGCAACTCATCCGCGCCCGCATCTCATTCATTAAAGACCAATACAACCAATACAAGAAAGACGAAACGCACCCTTCAACGTGGTCGTACCACCCACCTCTATACACAGTCTGCGAATTTGATATGCTGAGGAGGTTGATTGAGAGGGAGGGAGACGAGCTGTTGAGTGCTGACGACGAGGGTGTTAAGGATGCGATGAGGACGTTGCCTGGGGCCGTGGAAGAGTGGACGAGGGAGAAGATGAGGCAGTTGGCGGGGCTGTTGCCTGGTTCGAGGCGCGTTGGCGCTGATGCATGCGACGACCTCACCGGCGACGCCATGTCCATCGACTCCCCACCACGAGAACCCGACGAACCGGATCTCCACCTCCTAAACCTCGCCACGTCCGTATTCACCTGCCTCGGCTCGACGATAAGCTCCATACGCGCGGGGAGGTGTTTGATAGGGTGGGACGGCGCAGGCCCGCATCTGCGTTGTGGGGCGCTGCAGACGCATTGGGATAAGAGGTTGCATTTTAGTAGGAGGGGGTATGAGGCTGCGGGGGCATTGGTTGAGCTTGTTGGGTGGGATAAGGGGACGGCGACGGTGGGTGAGATGGATGGATTTGATGGACGGTTTGTTTGTGGGGGGTGTACTAGTGCGAGTGCGGGGGAGGGGGGGAGGAAGGCGTTGACGTGGCGGGAGTGTGTACGTTTCCCTTCCCTTCTTTTCTCTTCTTTTCCAAAGGGCGATGCTGATGGAAATACAGGTACTTCATTACATGGAAAAAGAATCCGACCTCGCAAGGCACTCCCGCCCCTCTTGGAGCCTCTTGACGGACGAAGCAAAGGCGGACGTGGTGAGAAGGGAAGAGTTCGATCCGTATATCAAGGATAAATCGTGGACGTGTGCGCATTGTTCGGTGCATTATTTGGCGCCGGTGGATAGGAAGGGGGCGATTGATCATTGTAAATCTGCGTACGTGCTTTTTTTTTCCCCAGCCGCCTTACTCCCTTATCCTTGTCCTTGTTCTCGCGCTGACGTTCTTCTTTGCTCTACAAAGGCACGAAATCCGACGCCCAATTGAAAACCTCGACTACCTCTACGTCATCACGACGGAACGAACTCCCCGCAGACCAGCTGTATTCCGCGAGATTGCGGACTGCTTGTGTTTGCGTTGTCCTGAAACGGGTGTTACCCGATTGCGGACGCTTGGGGCTTTGGTGCCCCATTTACGTGATGCGTGAGTTGTGTCGTTTCGTATGTTGTGTTTGGTGCTGATTTTTGATGTGCGTAGACACCAGGTGGAGGCACCGTTGGTCTGCCGGGATTGGGTACAGGTGCGGACGATCTTGCGGTCTACTATGGACTTGCCGCAGCTGCAGCGTGCTGAGGGCCCCCTTCGATGATACGCGAGTTTTGCTGATGCCTCACTCTCCCGCTATTTTTTCCTGCTGTCGACTATTGATCTGGATTGTAACTTGTGTATCAATAGATATTTTTTTCTCTTGCAACAAAATATGCTGGTTTTCCATTACGTTGAAAGACGAAAACCCTGCTGGCCGCGAGGACTCAATTGAGTTGTGAGAAATCCGAATGTCCGGGAGAATATTCTCATGAGAATGATCGAGTTTAAACTGTACTCAAGTCTAATGATGTGCAGAGTTGACGTCGCGGCCGCAACGCTACACTTTTTTTCACCACGTGACAACTTTCCTTAGTGAATCAACTCCGACAGGTAAATGCCCTCGGAGTATATACAAGAATAGCAGTAGTGGGATACTAAATATACACTTGAAAGAGTGGGATTGATGTGCAAAGGGTGGGATTGAAATAATGATAGTGGGATTGAAAAGGGGAAAGTGTGACTGGGAACTTGAAGGAAAGAGTGGGATTGTGTTGTGATAGTGGGATACAATCAAGGGGGTAGCGGGACGTGGATCCCGAACCAAGGGTAGGAGGGGGGGGTGTCCGGCTGAAGGCCGAAAAAAAAATTGTTGACACCGTCAATTTCAAATTTTCTCATGCTGGTCTCCTCATGACTATCTTTACACTGATCATGACGTACTTGCAACCAGTTACACCACTCTCGATGCCTCGGATTCTTGCGACACGGCTGGCCGTGGTGGATCCCTCACGAGTACCCTATAGCCGTTGTTTCAACAGCATGCTATATGCATCCTTACGATGCCTAGGCTTAGTTTACGGTCAACTGCCTGTGCGTAGCTTACTTGTTACACGGAAATTTTTGAATTCAAAGAGAAAAAAAAACATGAGTATGGGGAAAACATACTTTATTAGGAAGGTAATGGTGGGGGGGTGTCAGGCGGAACCCTGAAAAAAAAATAACAAGTGTTGGTCTCTTTTCCACATTCTGCCACCCCCTTGGATACAATACACCAATGTTAGAATCAATGAACTCTAACAATCATGTTACTGTCTCTGCATCATAAGGCCCCCACCACCATGGCCACTGTCACATTTCTTTTTGCTTCCATGATGATGGTGACAACCCAACAAAAGAATGGTAAGAAATGAGATATGTCTTCACTGGATGCAAGCCACATTATTGTTATTTGAAAAATAGCTGGCCAAGCCACCTTTCCAGGAAACCACAAAGTTTTGAGGTGTTTGCACCACCAAAAACTTTCCTTTCCTTTCTCCCCCAGTACCCAACTTTTTTGCATAAATTTTAATATATTTCAAATTGCTTTGACAATCCTGAGAGACTTGTGCATAGTATGAAACAATAGGAGAAATATGTGTGATGGTATTATATACTCAAAGTTCATGTGAATTGAGGTATTGATAATTGAGCAAGAAAGAACATATGATGATGAAGCAATAAGGGGTGGAATAGAACCTCTGACAAAAAGTTCAGTCTGTGTATTGAAAGACAGCCAAAAAGCATACATGGAATTTTTCCTGGTTGTTCATGGGGATGCAATGGCCTGGAACTGTCTTTTCTTTGTCAAGGTCAGAGTTGTAGGCTGATCTGGGCTTGAGAGAGCAACAAGGCTGAAGATCATCAGTTTTACATTGCCATGAAGATTGCTATTGGGAAGGACAGACATGTCTGAAGAAGGGGATGTGCTGGCCTAACAAGGAGCATCACCATTGTAGGTGTGGCTAAGTAAAAGTGTATTAGTCAAGAGAAAAAGAAGAATGAAAGAATGCACATAATATATTAATTTCTGAATGATTCACAGAAGTATCCAGTGTGAGAGATGGGGGAAATCTTCATGTTGAAATTGGCTAAGGTGATGGCCTTTGATGGAATATGACCAACACCAAAGATCCACAGGTAGGGACAGTCTGGAAGAGATTCCTCATAGTTGTCACTGGATTGGTCACCAGGAAAGTGGTGTCATTGACATGAGCCTTTGCAACAACAAAAACAAAAGTGTGGTTTGGATGTATGATGTCATTGATTAGGCTGTAGATGCACAAGGTCAGCAGCAAGCACATGGCCTGCAAGTAGTACAAGTTGAGACCAGCCAATAGATCAAAATCAAAAAAATTGGGAACTGGATATAAGAGAGGTGAAGATTGCAAAATGAAAGGGCCAAATATGTGCAAAGAAAGTGAAGAGCAAAACATGCACAGACAATTCACAGTGGACTCAGAAATTTCAAATAAAGAGGAGCCAAACATATTTGTTCAATATAAGTAATAGATTTATAGCCATGTAACATGCATGAAGTCTCCATGACTAAGATTTAGCAGTAAATGGGAATGCAAGTGCCCTCTTCTGTATCAGCAGCTTTGCAATTGCCCCATGGCCTTTACATGATGCTGCCTGGAGTGCATTTCCATAATATCCTCCCTGTGCATTTACATCTGCCCCACTCTCTATCAACAGCTTTGCAATTCCCTCATGGCCTGAGAATGATGCTGCATAGAGAGCATTTCCATAGTATCCTCCATGTGCATTTACATCTGCTCCCTTCTCTATCAGCAGCTGTGCAATTTCTTGATGACCTTTGTGAGATGCAGCCTGAAGCACATTTCCATAGTATCCTCCCTGTGCATTAACATCTGCCCCCTTCTCTATCAGCAGCTTTGCAATTGCATAGTAGCCTTTATATGATGCTGCCTGAAGTGCATTTCCATAGTATCCTCCCTGTGCATTTACATCTGCCCCCTTGTATATCAGCAGCTTTGCAATGCCTCATGGCCTTAAATGCTGCTGCTTAAAGTGCATTTCCATATTTTCCCCCCTGTGAATTTATGTCTGCCTTCTTCCCTATCAGCAGCTTTGCCAGTACCCTATGGCCTTTCTGTGATGCTGCCTGAAGTGCATTTGCATAGTATCCTCCCTGTACATTTACATCTGCTCCCTTCTCTATTAGCAGCTTTGTAATTCCCTCATTGTCTTTCAATAATGCTGCTTGAAGTGCATTTCCATAATATCCTCCCTGTGCATTTGGATTTGCCCCCTTCTCTATCAGCAGCTTTGCAATTCCCTTATGGCCTGCATATATGGCTGTGTAAAGAGCATTTCCATAGTATCCTCCTTGTGCATTTACATCTGCTCCCATGTCTATCAGCAGCTTTGCAAGGGCCTCATTGCCTTTCTGTGATACTGCCTGAAGTGCACTTCCAAAGTATCCTCCCTGTGCATTTACATCTGCCCCCTTCCCAGTCAGCAGCTTTACAATGGCCTCATTGCCTTTATATGATGCTGCCTGAAGTGCATTTCCATGGTAGCCTCCCTGTGCATTTACATCTGCCCCCTTGTATATCAGCAGCTTTGCAATGGCCTCATGGCCTTCATGTGCTGCTGCTTGGAGTGCATTGTCATATTTTCCCCCCTGAGCATTTATGTCTGCCTTCTTCCCTATCAGCAGCTTTACCAGTGCCTCATGGCCTTTCTGTGATGCTGCCAAAAGTGCATTTGCATAGTATCCTCCCTGTACATTTACATCTGCTCCCTTCTCTATTAGCAGCTTTGTAATTGCCTCATTGCCTTTGCATGATGCTGCCTGAAGTGCATTTCCATAGTATCCACCCTGTGCATTTATGTTTGCCCCCTTGTATATCAGTACTTTTGCAATTGTCTCATGGCCTTCATATGATGCTGCATAAAGTGCATTTCCATAGTATCCTCCCTGTGCATTTACATCTGCCCCCATCTCTATCAGCAGCTTTGAAATTCCTTCATTGCCTTTGTATGAGGCTGCCTGAAGTGCATTTCCATATTCTCCTCCCTGCATATTTACATCTGCCCCCTTCTCTATCAGCACCTTTACAATTGGCTCATGGCCTCTTCGTGATGCTGCCTGAAGTGCATTTCCATAGTACCCTCCCTGCGCATTTACATTTGCCCCTTTCTCTATCAGCTGCTCTGCAATTGCCTCATAGCCTTGATGTGATACTGCCTGAAGTGGATTCCCATATTCTCCTCCCTCTGCATTTACATTGGCACCATTGTCTATCAACAGCTTTGCAATTGTTTCATTGTCTTTGTATAATGCTGCCTGAAGTGCAGTTGTATAGTATCCTCCTTCTGCATTGACATCTGCTCCTTTTTCTAACAGCAGCTTTACAATTGCCTCATGGCCTTCATATGATGCTGCCTGAAGTGCATTTCCATATTTTCCCCCCTGTACATTTACATCTGCCCCCTTCTCTATCAGCAGCTTTACAATTGCTTCATGACCTTCATATGATGCTGCTTGGAGTGCATTTCCATAGTCTCCTCCCTGTGCATTCACACCTGCCCCCTTCTCTATCAGCAGCTTTGCAATTGCCTCATGTCCTGCATATGATGCTGCATAAAGTGCATTTCCATAGTATCCTCCTTGTGCATTCACATCTGCCCCCTTCTCTATGAGCAGCTTTGCAATTCCCTCATGGCCTTTCTGTGATGCTGCCTGAAGTGCATTTCTGAAGTACCCTCCCTGTGCATTTACATTTGCCCCCTTCTCTATCAGCAGCTTTGCAATTGCCTCATGGCCTTCATATGATGCTGCTTAAAGTGCATTTCCATAGTATCCTCCCTGTGCATTCACATCTGCCCCCTTCTCTATCAGCAGCTTTGCAATTGCCTCATGACCTTTATATGATGCTGCCTGAAGTGCATTTCCATATTCTCCTCCCTGTGCATTTACATCTGCCCCCTTCTCTATCAGCAGCTTTGCAATTGCCTCATGGCCTTCATATGATGCTGCCTGAAGTGCATTTCCATAGTACCCTCCCTGTGCATTTACATTTGCCCCCTTCTCTATCAGCAGCTTTGCAATTGCCTCATAGCCTTCATATGATGCTGCATAAAGTGCATTTCCATAATATCCTCCCTGTGCATTTACATCTGCCCCCTTCTCTATCAGCAGCTTTGCAATTGCCTCATTACCTTTATATGATGCTGCCTGAAGTGCATTTCCATGATCTCCTCCCTGTGCATTTA